CCGGGGACTAGTAGGACGCAGTGGACGAAGCTGCAGACGACTCAAAATACTGCACTTAGGACAGCGACTGGATGCCTTCTGATGTCACCAGAACACCACCTGCATGACGAGGCGAAAATGCTCCCAGTCAAGGAGCATAACACAATGCTCTGCAGGCAGTTTCTGGTTGGGAGCCACAGACGTGGTCACCCAAACAAACAGCTGCTTGCAGAGGAGCCCTCACCTAGGTACGTCAGGAGGCATCTCTACGAACTGACGGACGAAGTCCAGAGGTTCATTAAGCAACCTATGGACCCGTCAGCATACCGACAGGCCCTGAACGGCATTCACAGGGAGTCAGTCTCGAGTTATGTAGACTCCAGACCTGTGAATGCCGTTCTAGGCACACAACCACCGGACATTGACAAGACGGAGCTTCATCTGCCTCGCGGGACAAGAACCACAATAGTCCAACTTCGCTCTGGCTACTGCAGAAGGTTAAACTCATACCTGAGCAGACTAAACGCGGATGTGCCAAATGAGTGTCCGGCATGCGGAGAGACCCCTCACGACTCGAAACATCTCTTCGCATGCTCGGAAAACCCGACAAACCTAACGCCTTTGTCCTTGTGGACCGACCCTATTGAGGCTGCACGCTTCTTAGGGCTACCGTTAGTGGAACTTGACGCCAACGACCGAGATATTAACCGATCTGGCCGGGGTTATTGTAGCCGCTACAACAACAACAACAACCACTATGTTTGCATGTTTTATATAAAAAATATTTATTAAACCAAAAACTACCCAGCACTGTAACCAATGGTAATTAACTATTACCACCTCTGCATGGTTGTAAGCCAGTAATGGGATCCTCGTTTGCTTGCCGCTCTACTCTTGCGCTGCCCTCGTTTGCTTACTCGCTCGCTGGCTGCTCAGCGCGTGCGCTCGTACTTAACGAGTGTTCGTTTGCAAGCAGCCTCGCCTCCTGCGCGTGAGTTGCGCAAGCTCAGAGCAAACTAGAAAGCGAGCGAGAGGCTAAGATGAGGCAAATCCGAACCCTGAACTCATAGCTCAAAGAACATGGAGTTCAAAATCAAAACAAATGAAGGAAAATAATACTCCTCGCCCCCAGAGGAATTGGTGATACAAATGAAAAAAAGGAACAGTGATCGACCAAAATAATTGAGCAATTAAATATATTCATTGTTAAGAGAGTAAATTTTACAACTCTCAAAAAAAAATTGTTGCGATTGTGCTAAATACTGAAAATCTTATAAACTATGCGAAATTAAAAAAAAACGTTGAAAGAGGTTTTTTGTGTTGTCATTGGCTACACATTTTTACAACCGTCATCAGTTTAACGGTGTCCTAGAACCAGATTTAACTGAAGCGGTCTGGAACGATGTAATTTCCTATTAGACTATTTTGGGGGGTGTTCCCGAGTTCGAATATGTGTCGAGAGTCTATAGAACTCGAGACAGCCTCTCTGTGAATGCCGTTCAAGGCCTGTGGGTTGTTTGATGACCCTCTGGACTTCGTCCGTCAGTTCGTAGAGATGCCTCCTGACGTGCCTTGGCGAGGGCTCTTCTGCATGCAGTTGTCTATTTGGGTGACGTCTGTGGCTCCCAACTAGAAACTGCTTTCATTGTGTTATGCTCTTTAATAGGGAGCATATGGGCCTTGTCGTGCAGGTGAAGTTGCGGCGACATCAGAAGGCATCCCATCGTTGTCCCCGGCGACCACTCAGGCGTTGCATAGTTCAGAACCGGCCGGCCAATTGCATTGTACGTTGCCAATAACGTTTCTTTGTCTTTGCCTCAGTAGCTTCCGGCTAGCGACTTGAGGACCTTGTTGCGGCTATGTACTTTATTGACAATTGCGGTTGTTTGCGCCGAGAAGTTTACCCCTGAGGATCTTCGGGTTGTTCACCATCGGAATTGGTTCGTCATCGACGTGAATACCCAGTTGCAGTCTGTCCTCCTTCGTCCAAGTGGTGAAAAGTGTTGCTGAGGATTTTGTGGGAGAAAGGGTTGGCCTCCCTGCAGTGAATAAGGGAGAAAGCTCGGCGAGATAACAGTTTACTTTCGAGCACATGTCATCAATTCCATTCCCAGACGCCATGATCGAGCAATCGTCAGCATAAGAGACAATCGAGACTCCTTCTGGTGGTTGAGGGAACTTGGAAATGTAGAAGCTAAACAGTAGTGGGGTAAGGACACCACCCTGTGGAACCCCCTGTTTTATTTTCCTGGGTTTGCTCGATGTGACTCAAAATGTTACTGACGAGTGACGACCATTCAGATAATTCGCCAACCGCCGTTTGAGTCCCTGTGGGAGAGAGGAGGGCTCTATGTTTTCTAGTAGCGTTGAATGGCTGATGGTGTCGAACGCCTTGGACAGGTCCAACGCTTCTAGAATGGTTCTCACAGGGGCGGTTTCGGTTAAGACCACGAGTTATCTGAACATTTATGGCGTTAAGTGCTGTTGTTGTGCTGTACACTTTACGGAACCCATGCTGATGCCTCGCTGGGGTCAGGTGGTTTGTGTAGTGCGGGAGTAGAAGGGCCTCCAGTGTCTTCGCTACCGGGGAAAGGAGATTTATCGGGCCTTTGTTGGACGGTTTACCCGGTTTAAGCAGGGGGACCACTCTCCCCATTTTCCAGATGTCTGGTATGATGAGAGTGGCCATTGACAGGTTGAGGACTTGGTTAGATAGTGCCCTCCCGCAGGACCCAAATTTTTCAGCGTCAACATGCAAATTCCGTCGGGTCCCATAGCTTTGGAGGCTTTCGCCTTCTCTATGGCTACCCTTACCTCACCGCTGGTGAAGTTTGTACAGCCTTCTGGTCACTCGACGTTTGGCTTTGTCCACCGGAGGATGCAGTATTAACTGTCGGCTAAAAGAGCTCGCGCATCGCTCCGAGTCCGACGAAGCGTGGTCGCCAAAATTTATTTCAACTCTGTCGTCACGCTTCGTCGGGTTGGATAATGACCTGACCGTTTACCAGAGCTTGCTCACACCAGAGGCAAAGTTACAGTTCTTCAACGCTCTTCCCATTCCTTCCGCTTATGTACGTTCACTAGTTGCCGATTCTCCGAGTTGAGATCCCTGACACGGGGATTCAGCCGCTTCGGCAGGAAAATTCGGACGGGGGTCCGAAATGCATCCCGCTGGGATGAATCGGGCTGCAGCAGCAGTGACAACCCTGCGGAACTTACGCTCACCTACGTGAACGTCGGTTGGTGGGGGTACAGCAGTGAAGGTGCTTTTAGTAACTTGCGCGAAGCCTTTCCTGAAGCCTGAAGTCACCAACTACCACACGGTTTTCTTCTCTAATGAGTGCATGTGTTTCAGGGTGATTCCTGCCGGGCAGCTGGTGACATGGGGTATGTATACGTTAAATATTTCGAGCTCGACTTCGCCTGATAGGATAGCAATACCATGACTTTCTAGATTGGTATCCCTGCGGTCGATGTTTGCGTCGATAAGACGATACTGCACCGTGCGGTAGGTGATGAACGCTAGGCCGCCGCCATTATCTCGCTTGCGATCTCGACGATGCACGTTGTATCCGGTGCAATTCCACAATGTTGATAAAAATTAATTTCCCAAAAATTTCGAGACGAAAGAAACAAATACAACATCAAAAGCAAATGACGAATATGTGGTTTAGAATTAAAGTACACACTTTCTTCATTCATGCCTAGTAGTTTTTTTTAAGATTGGTCGACTAAATCATAATAAAGAAAGAAACAAATGCAGGTATTAAAAGTACAGAAAGAAAAATTATTAAAATGACTTCGACGTACGTCAGAGATCAAGCAGAAGTGGGAACGTAAATGACTGCCCTTTGATATCTCGGTTATAAAACTTGCGAAATAATAGAGGTATTCTCGCAGTCTTGCAAAGCCCTTGCACGGTGCACGGATTCCACGGTT